GGGGGGGGGGGATTACTCGTACCCGTGCATGCCGTAGTCGTTAGACCGTTGACCTCGCATCCCGGAGGGGCGAGAGTACTCATGCTTTAAGCGGTTTGCCAGTTGGGGGGGGGGGTTGTCTGTGGTCACCCGCAGAATAGCAGCATGGATTGTGTCCCGGATCGTTTGAGGTGCGGTGCCACGAATGAACCCCGTCTCGATCCTGAACACACCCGCCCACACGTTTGGTTCTGCTGGTTGCGGTTTGTGTGGTTGTCCCTCCCCTTGACCCAAAGCTTTCTTGTTCGGAAATGGTCTTTGTGCGTAGAACTGGCAAAAGAGCAGCCCAAAAGCCCTAAGCAATGAGGAGCATGGCGACCGGCTTCGGATGTCGAAAGGGAACTGTTAATAGTACCTTTTTGGAACGGGTTCTCGTGTCTGTTCGTTCGTTGTGCCCGCTCGCAACGCCTTGATCAAGGGTAGAAGTATTATTACTCAATTTTTGTGTGCGGTTTTTCTCTAGGTCCATTTCATTTCCGTTCTTTGATTTCTAGAAAGGTGTTGTACCCCTGTTGGGGAACTTGGCTTGTGACCACGGAAGGCGTCCGCGTCAGTTGGACCAGTACGGACATCAGAAGGTAGTGAGGGGAGACCGGAAGGCTTTTTCATGTGAAGGCAAGGACGTACGTGAAAATCAACAACAAATCGGAAGCTTTTGCGTGGCATCTTCCTGTGTGACCCCGGCTGATGTGCCCAAGGTGGTGCGTCCAGAATACATGGGGTGGCAAATAAAAAAACTCACAATGTGTGATTTTATTAATCCATGCCGTCAACGAGCTCTGGTTGTAATTCGTCCCGTTAACGAGCGCCGGATTATGTTAATCCGTTCCGTGAAGGAACTCTGGTTTTTATCCGTTCCGTGAACGAACTCTGGTTTAATTCAATCCGTTCCATGAACGAACTTCAATTAGATTATTTCCAATCATCAGGGCACGAACTTTGGATTATTTTATTCGGGTAACACGAGAGTTGCCCGATCAAGGCGGCCTTGACGGCATGTATTGCAATACGTCTGTGCTGCGGAGAGATGGTGACGCCTGCTTGAGACTGGACTGAATGAAAGGGAGTCGGTTATACTCTCTCACGCTGGAGCCCAGTGACCCCGCCAGGATGCACTTCTTCCTTTTCTTTCCTCCTCTTTGAGTCCCGTTGACGGTACTTCGTGTTTCAAGGGTTTGTCACTGCTGGTAATAATGGATGAATGCATGTTGCAGACGTTGCTCGCCCGGGGGGATTCGAGTAACGTACCGCATCGTGTGGTGTGGAGCACTGCCGTTGTAGCGTATGAGTGCGTTCAACAGCTGGATTTAGGTGTGTTTCTCTATCCGCGCTTTTTTTTTTCGTACCGAAGCACCTTTCCTTCGTTCTCTACCAAGCGAGAAAAGGCTGACGCCATCATCATCGCATCGCGGGTCCTATCGGGACTTGTCGCAGCCTGGCACCACAACGTGTTCCCACGATATTTTCCGGAGCCGTGTGTGCGTAAGCGCGCCGCTCCACGTCTTGCAATCCGAGCGCCAGCATGATCCCCGTGCGGACGCGACAAGTTACCCCGCTACCGAGCTTCCCTTTGGCGATATTTTCAGTTCGTATTTGAATTAACCTCCCAGTACCTCCCCGATCCCCATCCCCATCCCGGACCCCGCCCTGTTTCAATTGCGAAACGCGGTGGTCCTCTCGTTGCCCCCCCCCCCCCCCCCCCCCCCCCCCNACAGAATCATAAAACAAGCCGCCCCCCCCCGGAGGGACTAGAAGTGTACGGAATGTTGAAGGAAGGAATAGGGTTCAAGGACTTCCTACATGGACCAATGGATGCAGGAACAAAGCTTAAGGTCAAATTCAGGACCGGGGACATAGGCCTTCGAGAACGTCGACGAAGACATAGGACGGTAGACGAGGAAGACGACGAGTTCAAATGTGATTGCGGCTTCGAATGCGAAGACCGTGTTCATGTAGTCGCGGAATGTCCGTT